GAAAGAGAGAGAGAGACAGGGCCTCTCGGCTGGCCTTGACCTCACAGAGATCTGCCTGCCTCTGCCTCCCAAGTACCGGGATTAAAGGCACATGCCACCACACCCAGCTAGTTTATATATTTTTTAAGACAGGGTCTTACTATAAAGCCCTAGCTGGCCTTGAACTCGCTATATAGACCAGGCTGGCCTTGAATTCACAGAGATTCACCTACCTCCCTGGGCTTAAAGGCGTGCACCATCATGCCAAGTACAAGTCACAGCCTTTTATTTTACACACGGGGAATGAGCCTCAGAGAGCCAAGTGTGTGTCAGAAACCGTCACCCTGTCAGTGCCACTGGTGGAACTCAGGCCTAGAAGCTCTTAATCTTTCTTTTAGCTTGTGTGCTAGCCAGATAAAGAAAAAGCAGACTATAAGAAATAAATGGTTCATTAACTTTGCCAAGCCCCTCCCTCCCTTCCTGTGTATGATGGATACGTGTTTTCATTTGGGTATGTATACATGTGTGCAGGCAAACGTGTATGTGTGTGAAGGCCAGAGGTCCATGTCGGGCTTCTTCCTCTGTTGCTTTGCACCTTATTTTTTGATAAGGCCTTAGAGAAGTTCGAGCTCATTTATTGAACTAGACTGGTTAGTTGCTGAGCTCCAGGGATCTGCCTCTCCTCACCTTCCCAGTGCTGGGATTCCCAGTGCCATCGTGTCCAACTTTGGGGATCCACCTCAGGTCCTTATGCTTGCACAGCAAGCACTTTACTGAGTTACTTCCCCAGAGCTGCTAAGCTGTTTTCTAGCATTCTTGCGAAGCATAAACTTTACTAATCACTCTTATCTTGGTTTACCATAGTGATGTGAGCTCAGCGTTGGTGAGAAATTCTCAACATTTGGTGCTTAGACTGAATTAAACAAAGCTTAATTTGCTAATCTTTTCCTTCTGATCTCTAGTCTTTTACTGGAAACTAATACAGAAAAAGTGACCCCTGCTTGCTGGGTGTCCGCCATGCGCAGTCCTCTTCTGTCCCGATTTGGTGCCTCCATTTGCCTCTAGGCTTTTCCTACCTCCAGCTGCCTCCCCTTCCAGCAGCCACACTCACTGCTGCTGTTTGTGTGCTGGGCTTTCTGCAGTCCCCCTCCTTCTCTTTCTAAAATACCTTTTTTTTTTTTTTTTTAATTTAGGGGGTATAACATGCATTCTTTCACTAATCTGTGCCTTGGTCCTTGCTTATTTGGATCTGAGAGCAGAGAAAATCCTTCATAAAGAACAAGGAAAAACAGGTAAGTCAGTCTAAAAGAAAGAGTGGGACTTGGGGACCCTTAAAGATAATTCACAGGGACATAAGCTCTGGGTGGCAGTGTAAACACTTTGGTGCAAAATGTGTGCTTTGTATTTCCACATATCTGCAGTTTTAGATGTATTTTTTCCCCTCTAAACTGTTTTTGGCAGAAGATAATACATTCTTGATAGTACTTTGTATAATCATAAAATGACTCTAGTTCCTGCTGAAGGGAGTGGGAAGGTAGCTGTCAATCTTAGCTTCTGCTTTTTCCCAGGTTTCTTAGTGAATTATTTCACAGATGTCTTTTGTGGAACTTTCTAGAAAAGTGTTATTTAAACACCAACTTGCAAACTTAATTATGAAGGAAAATGATCTTCACTATAGATATTTAATATAAATATATCTGTAGACAGATTATAAAGCTAGGCATCTTCCTTTCATCTCAAGGTGAAGTTATTAAATTAACTGACATCAAGGACTTCTCCTTACCACTCTGGCTGATCTTCATCATCTGTGTCTGCTACTACGCTGCCGTGTTCCCTTTTATTGGGCTTGGGAAGTGAGTATTCTCTAACATTCCACTTTTCTTGACTAAATTATGATGAGACCTGAATCAGATAAGTGGAGTTTTTTGCAGTCTATTTTACTACTCTGGATAAAGTTTATATTTAGATAGGAATCATTTTATATCTTGGGATACAGTGGGCTTTCTTAGTTTGAGGTTTAGCATTATTTTAATATTTTCATTAGTCTCTTTAAGAAATATCTAATAGTGCTTGCTTTATAATACTGACTTAATACTTGATTTTAGACAAGCATTCTGTTAAAACTTCTTTCTGTTCCTGGATTAGGCCATGTATTAGTTACTTTCCTGTTGCTATGGTAAAACACCCTGGTCAAGGCAACTGATAGAAGGAACTTAATTGACTTACAGTTCCAGAGGGATTAGAGTCTATCATGTCAGAAAACCATGGTGGTAGAAGTGGCCAGAGCAGAAAGCTGAGTGCTCACATCTTCAGGCAGGCACAGGAAACAGAGAGAGACAGATTGGAAGTGGGCATGGCTATATGCCTGCCCCCTGTGACATGTTTCTTCTAGCATGACCACATGTCCTAAAGGTTCCATGACCCTCCCCAAACTACATCACCAAATGGGGACCAAGTGTTCAAATACTTGGAGCCTATGGGGGCATTCTGACTCAAACCTCCACAGGCTGCTGCTTCTGTGAATGGGAATTGTGTATTGGCATACTGCCTACTTGCTAGGACTATAGTTCTGCCAGTCAGGGTTCAAGGCTGGCTCTTGCTAGCTTGCTTTGTCAGTGAACAATTGGCAGCTGTTTAAGCAGAGCAGTGGGAGATGTAACTGTGTTTGTAAGGGTATGTTTTTATGTCTTAAATCCTTCAAAATTACATTGTCATTTTAATTTGTGACAAGAATCCTGCATATTATGTAGCAAAGGAGCTCTACAGTCCTATTTTAAGGAAAAGAAGCAGATTTAATCCTCATAGTAGTATATTTTGTTTTCTGAAAATTTGGATGGGCTGATCATAGTTTAGTCAGTGAAATATTTATGTGAATACTTAATTAAGCTTTAGCAGATTGCTTTAGGCTGGATAACAAAGTGGGAGAATAGTATTCAGAGAGAAAAGGTTATGGGACTTTAGAGTTATTTTTATTCATCTTTATTTAGTTTTTATTTTTAAAAATATAGTCATTCTCTCTGATGTGCATATTTTTAAATTTTAGAGTATTCTTTTCAGAGAAATTTGGATTTTCTTCACAATCAGCAAGTGCAGTTAACAGGTATTTCTGTAATTATGTGCTCAATACATATGGCTTTTTGTTCTATTTTGTTTTACTCTGTTTTGAGACACAGTCTCCCTGTAGCCCCAGCTGGTCCAGAACTCACTATGTAGACTGGGCTGGCCTCGATCTCACAAGTTAGGCCTAACTCTGCCTCCTGAGTGCTAGGATTGGCTTAACTCTGCTTCTCGAGTGCTGGAATTAAAGAAGTGCACCACTATGCCTGGTGCATGTAATGTTTTTATGAGAGACCAAAAAAGACGTGTGTGACCACAGTCCCAATGTGAAACTAACTCTGAAGATGTAAAACCTGAGGGCCTGTCTTTGCATTAGTGGGAACACCAAAGAATTCTTGGTCCGATACTTGTATTTTTTGGTGGTCATTTTAGCAGAATGCTAAATTAAATGAATTAGGATTTGCTTTGCCTAATATTTTTAGAGAGTTTTTGACACTAAATTTTTAGCTGTGCTTCGTTTTCTCAACTGTTTTACACGTTCCCTGAGCAGCATTGTGTATATCATCTCGGCTCCCATGTCCCCAATATTTGGGCTCTTGGTGGATAAAACTGGAAAGAATATCATCTGGGTTCTTTGTGCGGTGGCCGCCACACTTTTGTCCCACATGATGCTGGCCTTCACCCTGTGGAACCCATGGATCGCTATGGTAAGGTCTGGAGGGACCATCAGGGCTTGAGAGAGAACTCCAAGACAGTGTCAGGAGGAGTACTCAGCTGATACTGCCTGCGGGGGGGGGGGGGGGG